AAATATTGCTATTGACACATCTTTGAAGTTTCCTTTAACCTAAAGATTTCCCTCCTTCTCTTTTTTTCTATCTGTTGAAGAAATGTGGTTGTTTGTTCCATCAAATTTCCCACAGACAGCCCCCATCTAGCACGTGGGAAATTTTTTAATTGACATTTCCAGGACTCTCTTTCAGCTAAGGTTTCATCAGAACCTGGCTTCTCCCGAGCAGATGCACCCACGTGACTTGTAGGCGGAAGTGCGCCAGGTGAGAGGAGGCCCTTCGGGGTGGTGCCAGAGGTGTCTGAGTCCCCTGGCGCCCTCACGGTGGAGGCTCTGGGCTCTCGTCCCTGGAGCCCCAGGAGCCACACAGTAGGAGGGATGGCGACCTGGTTGCTCCTCTTGGCAGAGGTGATCCTGGAACATCCAGGGACCTGGTCAACCACCCCTCCCTTCAATAAATCCCTTTAGGTGTAAACTGGGTGGAATGCATTCTACTAACTGCAGGAGAAATCAGTGGGGAGGGCAGGGGGAGAAGAATGAGCCTTAATTTTGCCCAGCGCTGTAGAGTTCACAAGACACTTGCACCTGTACCACGTCCTCAGCTGCTCTTACCTGCCCCACATGGAGGGCATTCTTATCCCCGCTGAATAAATGAGCCCAGCAAGGTCAAAGTCTCAGTTAGGGAGTGTCTCAAGACTGAACCCCAAGTCTTCAAATTCGAGGACTAACACTGTTCTCTCTCCCCATCCTGCCCACCTCTCCTCATGGGCTGCCATGTTCACAGCACACAGGAGGGAGCATCTGGGGCAAAGATGACTCCAGGAAATAAGGCAGCACCACGAGATGTGGAGTCTGGAGAAAGACTCCTCACTTTGCTCAAGATGAATATACATCCTCCTCAGATGTCCCTGCCCAGCGACGCCCACAACAGCATGGCTCAGACAAAGTCCTGGGGGCCGGTGCCTCCCTCTTTTCCGCCAGGCTATGCTGCAGGGAGGGGGCAGCAGCGGTCAGGACAGGCAGCCTCCAGGCCAGAGCCCTCTGTGCCACCTCAGCTCTGTCACCAGAGTCCCTCTTCTGCTGTGGGTATGAAAGAGGGGTGCACTTGGTGGCAGTCAGGGAAATAAAGTGGAAGGGATTCAGGGGGACCCTGAAGGCATTGAGGCTTTCTCCAGTGCATTATCTCTTTCAGGTTCAAGTAGCGGCAGTGGCCTGAGGTTGTCTGGATAAGAGGAGGCAGCAGCAGGGGACTCCGAGGGCATGCCCCCTGCTTTCTCTGATGGACAGCAGCTTTGATCCTGGGGTCTGAGGTTCATAAATAACGCCCCAGGCACGGGTGCCCTGGGCCTTCTCCAAGGGCGCTGGCTGACAAGGCTGACTCAGCCGGAGGCGGGCCTCCGCGGGCAAATGTGGCCCCGCTGCAGTCGGCCCTGAGGGGTTTACACCGGTCAAGCTACAGTAGTTGCCTCAGATTTATCACCCTGTATGAGGGCAGAAGGAGCCGCTAAAGGCTGCCAGGGAGCCCTTAAATCATCGTGATGGGAAATGCTGTCAGAGGGAGCAGAGGGCAGGTAGGAAGGAGCCGTCCTGGGGGCTTGGGCTTCCTGCTGGCTCCTCAGGTTACAGTCCTTTCCAGAGGGGGATTTACAGCCCCGGAGCCCAGCGGAGCCAAGCAGCCACCCAGGGAGGAGCCAGGAGGAATCACAGGAGATGAGCAAAGAGGAGGGGCTGGGCTGGCCAGGGAGAGCTGTGGGAGGAAGCCCAGGGACCCCGCTCCAAACTGCTGCTGGTGGTGACTGCGGCTGTGAGAAGCGGCTTGCTGCCACAGCCGGCGCTAATGTGTGCCTCCTTGGGCCGATGCTGGTGGTGACTGCGGCTGTGAGAAGCGGCTTGCTGCCACAGCCGGCGCTAATGTGTGCCTCCTTGGGCCGTGCCCCATCCCTGGCAGCATGCCGATCTGCGGCAAGGCTATTTATGGCAACCCTGTGTGTATAGATCTTTCTCTGAGTGTGTGTGTGTGTGTTTTGGAGCCTATAGCAGCAAACAGGGGCATGCATGCAATGAGGCCATTTCCCATTGCACACGAGCACTGGGCTAGGGAGAGGTGTTTGTGAATTAGTATTGCACATGGGGTGAAGGGTTGGGAGATATTCAAAGGTAGTGGGTTTCAGGTCCCTGTCCATGACTGCCCACCAGGTGAATCTGGGTAAATACAAGAGAACGACGACACCAGGAGGACAAGAAGAAGAGTTGGTGATGTTAATATGAGGGAAACCACTGATGAGTGGGAGGACAGAGCAGGTGGGCAGGGGGTGGGTGGCAACAGACAGAAGGGAGGGAGAAAGAGAGAGAAGGAAGCTCCAGATGTCCACACAATGCAGCCAACTTGGCCCCAAATGTGGTGAGAGAGGACAGGAGGGAAAGGCAAGAGAAGAGCTGCAGTAAGAAACATGGGAAGGACAGAGAAAGGAGAAAGGTGACCCAAGAGGGGAGAAGTGGGGCTAGGCAGCCAGCAGGAGCACCACCTGCCCCAGGATGCCAGCACTAGGGCTTCGCAGCTGCTCTGGCCTCAGCCACCTCCCGGGCAACAGCTGGCTGGGCAGCAGGGCCCTAACCCAGGGAGGCCTGCCCTCCGCCCACTCTCCTGCCACAGGCTGGCAGCCACCCAAGCCCAGCTTAGCGCACAGGGAGAGTAACCCAGGCTGAAGCAGGGAGCTGGAAGGCAAGCACACCACCTTGGAGAGTTCACACAGAGAAGGGGTGTCTGTCCTCAGACATACATGGGCTGATGTGCACATGAAGGCACCACCCGGTGGCACCAAACTGTTCACCCATGTGTCTATCTCCATGTCCCTAATGTGTCCTATGAGCACCCATCCCGATGAGAAGTCACTTAAACTTTGCAAAATTGGTCCAGGGCACCTCTTCCTGCAGCCCTAGCAGTTCCTGGGCTTGGCTCTGCAAAGTCCCTTTCTGTCCTCGAAGTTGCTGTGTGGGATCTTCTGGCCAGGCTGACGGGGGCCTGGCCTGATCAACTGGGCCTTAGCAGCCTGAATCTCAAAAGGCAAAGTCTAGTCCTTGACACTGCAAGTGACGCAGAGCCTAAGCTCCCTTCTACAAACCTGGATTTGCCCCCATCGATCCCACCTGAGGGGTCTGAGGTGTTTAGGTGTAAGTACAGGTGTTCACCTCGGGTGTGTCAGTGTGTCTGCATGTCCCTGTGTCTCTGGCTGTCATGAGGCACCCAGCAAAATCAGATACTGTGTGAACAAAGCCAAGTGACACTTCTCCAGGTGTGAAACATGGGCTCTGGGTGTCAGATGTCACCAAGCCCCTCAGGTGTCCTTTGACTGCCCCCCTTTCCCATCCCACTGTCTCAAATGCTACCTCCTTGAAAGCTCCCTGAGACTAATTTGGAGCCACCTCTCATCTGTGCTCCCACAGCTCCTGGGCTGAACCTAACACTTTAATTGATTTATTATCAACTATTTCATTCATACATACAAAAATATGCAACACCTGCTGCGGTGGACAGGCTACAAGGTGGCAATTATTGCATTCATACACACAAAAATACACAACAGCTGCTGCGGTGGACAGGCTGCAAGGTGGCCCCAAAGGATCTCCATCTCCTAGTGTCTGTGCCTTTGTGAGATCTCCTCTCTCAAATGTGGGTGGGAACTGTGACTTGCTTCTAACTAACAGAATTAGGCACCCAGTCCCTGGAGGCCTGAAACACTATAAGCCCCTTCCATTTCCAACATCTGCAAGAATTTCCTTCCTGACAGGCCATTCTCTGCCCCATCATTCAAGACTATGGGCGAAAAAGACATTGCTAGCTACCAACACATCACCACAGCCCAAGCATGGGCTATGTCCAGATGTTACAGGCTTCCGGAGCCCCTGTAACAGGCAGTGAAGATGGCAGGGGGTACACTTTTTTCTAAACGCCTCCATGAGACAGGGCTCCTAATGGACCAACACAAAGTCTAGCACATATTGGACCTTCAAGGTTTACTGATCAAAGCAAAACAGATTGATCAAACAGCACACAGACAGGGTGCTGTACCTATTCCCATCAGAAAGATAATTTTGCCAGGACCCTAAGGACCATGGGTGTTGGCTGCAGGTAACATAGGAGGGAGTTAGGAGAAGCCAGAACTCTCTGTGGATAGGAGCACAAAGCTGGACACCTGGATGTGGTGACTGTCCTGAGATGCTTCCTACTTGAGCAAAGTTGTCACCTATAGGGACCTGTGTGTCCTTTCATGGTAGGAGAAAGGTACTGTGGGGAATTAGAGGCATAGCCACCTGCCCTAAGCTGCAGTTTAGAAAGAACACGTTCCTCATCCCTACCATCCCAGGTTGGGGGGTGGTGACAGCCCGGAAGGGCACAGGGAGTCATGCTGGCTCACACACACAGGTTTAATTTAAATTTGAAAAAAGGTGAAACTGGGCACAAGTTAGGGTCCCCATGGCAGGCAGCCCAAGAGCTAGCGTTCTCCAGGCTGAATAAGGTTCTAACCCATCGCTGGAGTATGAAGGGCAGCTGCCCCCAGCCTCCCAATCCAGGCCCACCTGCTGTTCCCTGATACCTGTAAGTTCATCCATTAGGGGAAAATGCCCGTCACCTCACAGTGAGGAACTTGGCACTGAGTGTAACACCACCGGGTGAGGTCACAAGTTTTCACGAAGCTCTGAGTGGTGGTGCCTCCTCTCCAGTGCTCAGCTCCTGCAGGAGGGACAGGAGCACAGGCCCAAGGGAAGGGTGAAACAGTACGAGGTGATCATGGGCACAGAGGGGCAGAACAACTTTGCTTCTTGCCGTGTGAGACTGGAGTCATTCTTCCCCCAGCACTGGGGACAGAAGCAGTGGAGGGGGCTCTCAGGCAGCCCTGACACTCCCAAAAAGTTGTCACCTATAGGGACCTGTGTGTCCTTTCATGGTAGGAGAAAGGTACTGTGGGGAATTAGAGGCATAGCCACCTGCCCTAAGCTGCAGTTTAGAAAGAACACGTTCCTCATCCCTACCATCCCAGGTTGGGGGGTGGTGACAGCCCGGAAGGGCACAGGGAGTCATGCTGGCTCACACACACAGGTTTAATTTAAATTTGAAAAAAGGTGAAACTGGGCACAAGTTAGGGTCCCCATGGCAGGCAGCCCAAGAGCTAGCGTTCTCCAGGCTGAATAAGGTTCTAACCCATCGCTGGAGTATGAAGGGCAGCTGCCCCCAGCCTCCCAATCCAGGCCCACCTGCTGTTCCCTGATACCTGTAAGTTCATCCATTAGGGGAAAATGCCCGTCACCTCACAGTGAGGAACTTGGCACTGAGTGTAACACCACCGGGTGAGGTCACAAGTTTTCACGAAGCTCTGAGTGGTGGTGCCTCCTCTCCAGTGCTCAGCTCCTGCAGGAGGGACAGGAGCACAGGCCCAAGGGAAGGGTGAAACAGTACGAGGTGATCATGGGCACAGAGGGGCAGAACAACTTTGCTTCTTGCCGTGTGAGACTGGAGTCATTCTTCCCCCAGCACTGGGGACAGAAGCAGTGGAGGGGGCTCTCAGGCAGCCCTGACACTCCCACTGACTAGAGAGAACACAAAGGCTTCCCCCGCCCTTCATGCCTTCTTCTCTCAGCAAAAGGAATAAAATGGCCCACTTGTTTTTATCGCTCACAGATTTCCTGGAAAATGGACTATTAGCTCCCCTAATATAAGGATAATAGGCTCGTGCCCCTTGACAAATGGCATGGGCCCAGCACAAACACGCCACAGATCCTGAGCAGGCCTCTCCTACAGCCGCCTGGGACCAGGACCTGGACCTGGGCAGGAACCAAGGAGCAGGCTGGGCCTTCCTGCCCCAGGGTGGGTGCTGAGTCCTCACTGCCCCGGGAAGAGGTCCTCCCTGACATAGCTCAGATCCTCGAGGCCCCGCCTTTCCTCTTCGCTCGCTGGTAAAGGGAACAGGCATTAGCTGAAGAAGGGGTCTCACTCTGGATGGGGTAACAGCCACTGCTAAGCGGTCTCACAGAGCCAGAGACCTGGTTTCCAGGATCTCTCCCTGCCACCGCCCTCACCGCTAGAGGACATCACTCTCAGTTGCACAGTTCTTCACATCTAACCCTTAGGAACACCTATGGGGTCAGTAGATACCATTACAATGAACCCCATTTAACAGCTCATCAGAAAAACCAGAGCATCAGACAGGTGAAGGAAGTTAACCAAGGCCATGCAGCAGACAACAGCTGAGCTGGGACTGGAGCTGGCCATGGGGCCCCAAGGCTTCCTGGGACGGTGGGCCCCACTTATTCAAGACACTGTCCTTCATCCCCTTCCCTGTCTGTCACCACCCAGGAGGGAGTGCAATACCAGCCCCTCAGGGACTTCGCGGGGGACCAGACTCTCAGCAAGCCCCCTGCTCCCCTCAGACACAGGGTGTGGGGGTTCTCTCTCTCACACTTAGAGGGCCTGGATTTCCTGTACTCTGGCCACCCCAGGCTGCAAGGCAGCTCCCCAGGTGTTCAGTCACCCAGGCTGTACTCTAGCTAATGTTGCCAATTTACTTGTCACATTATGACATCTCTCCATCTAGGCTGTGAGCTCTGTGAGGGTACTGACTGGTACCTGTTTGCCCCCAGGGAGCCTGAGCAGCACTGGGCAGGTAAAAGGGGCTCAGGGACACCTACTGACTGTTGGCACATGGTCAGGGGCTGGGCACGGCTCTCTCACACCAGCCACGGTGAAGGTGGGACTGCCTACTGCCTTTTCTGCTGAGGCCCCAGTACCCTGCTATTCCTGGTCTGCGTGTGTCTCCCTGAGTACTCCAGGCCTGGCACATGGTAGGTGCTCTCTTCCCACTCCTACCTCTGCTGTCCTGTCCCTTAAACTGTAGAAGCACAAGCAGGCACACAGCAGGGACAGACCACTAGTCAAGGGCAGCCACCTGACATTCCTCACCTTGTGCCTATGGTGGTCTTGGGTGTAGAAGCCATGCCCTGAGGCTGGGGAAACATGAACTCATGTAATCCATCTGTCTGTCCCAAAGGAAAAAGAGGGTCTAGACAGAGCCATGAAGACCTGCACCTGGGGGTTTGCCCAGGAGGGGCTGCCCAGCCCAGGATGGGGAGGCTGCCTTTGACTGCCCCTTTACAGCTGCCCACGGGGCAGTCAGAACCCCCTCTAGGATGGTGATGGGGGTGGAATCATTCTGTGTTTCAGAGAGGACCACATGCCCAAGAGAGGACAGAGGGGTGCAGAATCCCGCTGTCTTTGCTTTGAAGTTTCAGAAAGGGGTGAGGATGCATGTACATCAGTGAGACCTGGTGGGGCGTCAGCAGGGGACGCGCAAGGCCAAGGCCAGGTGAATGTGAGCATGCGAATGAGTAGGACGGGCCAGTTTACTGACCAGCCGCCTCCTCCTCCTCTGAGTCTCATGGGCTCTGAGGCTGCCTCAGGCTGCCCCTGGCCTGTGGGCTCCACTAAGGGCTCCTCTTTCAGGAGGTGCTGTGCCAGCTGCTCCAGGTCCCCCAGGCTTATCCTCTGCAGGCGTTCCTTGTGCTCCTGCTTCAGCAGCTGCAGCACTGCCTTGGTGTCCTGGGGCCCAAAGGGTTTGGCTAGGACTTGGCCCAGATGGTGCTACAGGGGCTGGCACTGACAGGCCTCCTCAGGCACCATCTTCTCTGGGGGCCACATGATGACACTGATGGAGGCATTGGGCCCCATGCAGTAGTTGGAGAGCTGCTTGTCATCGGCAGAAGCTGGCCAAAGAAAAGCAGGTGCTGCTGCTCCTCAGGCACCCGCAGCCGCTCTGACGCCAGCTTCTTCAGCATGCACGCTCTCCTGCCCTGACACCTTCAGACTGCATCTCCGGCCCAGGAGCAGCTTGACCATGAGGAACATGGGGCCGGAAGTGGAATCAGGAGGGATCAGTACTCCAGTGGCTGCCCTAGGGTTAAGGGGTCCTGCAGGAGAAGGTAACTTCACCCATCAGTGGAGGGCTGTGGTCCTAGGAGGCCGAGGCCCAGCCCAGGTGGGCAGCCATTGGCTACTGCACAGTGGTGTCACAATGCTGCAGGAGGGTTGTTTCCAGAGCAGGACTGCAGGGGAGGTAGAGAAGTGTCCTGAGCACGGAGCAGGCTTCTTCTGTAAGAGAATAAAGGAGGTGAGAAGAGGAGAAAAGGAGAGCCAGGAAAGAAACACAGGACTATAGGAAAGGGGGATAGGGAATGGGGGGCCCAGGACAGCATGGCACAAGGAAACACATCCATGTTGATTCATACAGCTTGTATGTATGCGGTGCCTTCGCTGCCAGGATCTGTCCCTGAGGGGAGATCGTATCACAGTGGATCCTTCCTGCCCTCATGAAGCTTTCTGTTTAATGAGCTGGCCAACATTTATCAACTGTCTTCCTCTGTCCAGCACTTCATATGTTCTCTGGGGTTGGGTTTCCCAGAAGCAGACCCAGAGACAGGGACCTAAGACACCTGTTAGTTGGGAGGTGATCCTGGGAAGTGTCAGTAGGGGGTGAGGAAGTGAGACAAGGAAGGGAGGGAAGCCCAATGTGCAACGATGAGCAGGTTGCTGTCACCAGTACCTGGGAGCCTTCCCTCCCGCCGGGCACTCTGGGAGGCTGTGCAGAATGCACCACCTGAGCTGGGCCACCTGAGAAGCTAGCTGGATCTGTGTGCCCTGCCTCCCACCATGGTTAGCGGAGGTGCCAGCTTTCTGGCTCTTGTGGCCCACCTGGGTGCAGAGCGTGCTCCTGTGACCAGAGAGAGCCCTCAGGCAGAGACCCCCCAGGTGCTGGCAGAGGGAGGCCGTCAGGTCTGCAGGCACGTGGGCTCTGGGGGCAAGGCTGGGCCTCTGGGGTAGGGACTGCCATTTTCTCCATTAACTAGAGAGACAATGGAGCTCAGCCTGATCACATGGCAAGCAGGAGGTATAACTCGTGTCTTTGCTATTACCACATACAGCCTCCTGACACAGCTGCTCATTGCCTTCTGTGCACCAGGCACTAAGCAGATGCCCAGGGCTCCAAGGTAAACCCAGGAAGGAGAACTGCCAGGGCCTTTCCAGATCAGCAGCTTCTACTGCACTGGCAGTTTTCAGTTCAACTTATCCAAGGTCTCCTGGGTCAAGGCCCTGATAATAGGCATTTACAGGAAGGTACAGTAATCTCACCTGAGAAATGAGTGCATGTGGAGAAGACCTAGCTGACACCTGCCAGTTGGTGGGTGGTTTTGCCACAAGCAGCAGCCTTTGCTGTCCAGCCCTCCTCTCCCTTCCCTTTTCCTCCCTTGCCCTCTGGCAGGGACCACACTTAAATGATAATGTTGCCCACATCCTTGGACTCTCAGGATCTTGCCCTTCCATGGCAGCGGGCTCGGCTCCCCTGCTGGAGCGCTCCCACCTCTACCCCTCTCTCCTGGCCCTGGTGGCCCTGGGAAGCAGAAAGAAAACCACCATGGATGCCACAGACTTAGCTGGCCCTCCCACCTCACCCACCCCCATCTTCTCACTCTTAGCAGGTGACACAAATTCTAGTCTGTAAAGAAACCAGCTCTCAGGGCTGGAATTCCCTGACATCTGACCGTTTTCCCACCTACTGATGTGTGCCCCAATCCAGCTGCCCCTCCCCACTTCCCACCTCCTGTCCCCTACCAAATGAGCCCCCTTGTTATTTCTGATCTTCCTCAGAAATCTCTCCAAAGTCCACCCCTCCTCTGCATCTCCACTGACCTCAACCTGCTTCAGGCTCTCACCTTCTCTGGCCTGAGGCCCAGAAGTCATAATTCATCTCCTCTGTCCATTCCCATCCCCTTGGGTCCATTCATGTCACAGCCAAAGAGATCTTCCTAAATAAAAGTGAGGAGGTCAAGTCACTCCTCTGAGTAACACCTTCCAGCTTAATCCCCTTTAGTTTTGGAACCAAAACCATCCTCTTTTGCCCAGCATCCAAGGGCCTCGTGGCCTGGGCCTGCTTGCCACCCCAGCCCCATCACTTCCCCACTTTGCATCCTCCACTCAGACACACCACCTGCCATTTCCTCTGCATGCCTGTCCCATTAGAAGTCTTCAACTTGTCCTTCAAAACACTGGCTTAAAACCACCCCTTCCATGAAGTCTTCCATGCTTTCCCCAGTCCTACCGGGGAGGTAATACCACCCCACTCTGTACAACCTTACTTCCTTGTACATACCTGTGTGGAGGTACCTAGCATGTCTGTGTCTCCCTCACTGACTCTTGGAGGCAGGGAATGGGTATTCTTGGGCTTTGTATCCCCCACCTCCAGTACAGAGAACCTGCTACACTAAAGGCCTCAAATCCATATCTGTTGAATGAAGAAGATAACAGTTAGAGATGTTGACCCATGCAGGAGGATGCAGGGTCCCGTATGGCAGGCTGTGAAAATAGATAAACCTGCCCATAGCCTCTCTCTCACCCATACCTCTTCCCCTGGGGAGATGAAAATCCAAAATTACATAAAAGACAAATCAGAAAGTTATTCTAGCATTTACCAAAGGATCTCCTATAGTATTCTTTAAATAGCCAACTCCCCTGGTGCTTTTGAAATAAGACACAGCTTTCCTATAGTGTGCAGGAGCCTGTGGACTCCATGATGGCAGAGCATCTGCACAGGGGAAGCAGAGTATGGCTGAGGTTTCTCTCTGGCCATCTGGAAGCTCCCAGCCTCTGGAGGGGAGGACACTGTGGTGGGTAAATTGTGGGATGGACAGGACTGGGGACATGCCATGGAGATGCCCAGAGCAGAACTAATGCAAGAAGGCTTCCTGGAGGGGGCCCGTAGGAGACAAAAGGAAGGTGAAATGGGGAGAGAGGTGCCTGCCATCCGTCTACAAGGCTGTGGGACAGTGAGGACACCTTGCTGGGCCCTCAAATCCTACTTGGAGCCTGGAAATTTCATAATTTTTCCCATGTAATTGCTTGTCTTAAGTATGCAATTAGCATGAGAAAATGTAATTGTGTAAGCAGGGCATGCAATCAGACAATGATTGCCATAATTAGCAGGGAAAATTAGGGGGAATGTGTGGGTTTTGTGACTTGAGGGAGAAGAACAATTGTGTGCAGAAAACACTGGACAGTGCTGGGCTTGGACCCCTCCTGCAAACAATAGGTGCTAGTGTGTCACTGACAAATGAGTGTGATGCCTGTGGGGGGCATGGATGGGGAGTTGGTGGGGTGGTTTTGTGATGTACCCCCAGGACCTAGCAAAGTCTGATCCATAAAGACATTTGGTGTGTATCTATATAAACTAAAAAATGTGGCTCTGTCATCCTTAACTGTCAGGGAAGACCTCACTGCACCCAGACATGTGTACAAAGCATGGTTCCCTGCTTGCTCAGGGAGGCTGGCAAAGCAGCCCTGTGCCGACAGGGCCAGCCAAGGGAAAGAAGGGGCCCAGGAGGCACCTGCGGACAGCGGCAGGTAGCAGCTGGTGCAGGGCCCTCTGGGCTGTGGGGAGAATGTGACCACTCCCTGGGGCTGCACAAAAGGCTCATCCAAAAGATGCCATATGACCTCTGCCCACCTCACTCTCTAGGCAAGTTATTGAGTTTGCACTTTAATAAGGTCAGGCTGGCCTTCCATGGATAACGGGGACTGAGAGACACAGAAGAGAGGACAGAGAGACACTGAGAGGGAAACAGCCATGGAGACAAAGCCAGCAAAAGACAGACGGAGTGACAGAAATAGTGGAGAGGGGACAGGAATGGAAAACAAGAAGGCTGAGCCCGGGACATGTTTAGCAGCAGGAGGGCACAGAGAGAGAAAGGGAAGAGGAACAGGAGAGGAGGGCCAGGCTGAGAAGCAGCATGCAGAGGCCCAGAAGGCAGCATGAAAGGACCACTTGTGACAGGAAAGAAAAGGAGAGGAGCAGGAAGGGCTAGTGCAAGCAAAAACATACAAGATCCCTCTGCAGGCCTCCCTTCTGAGAACATTGTCCCTCTTCTGCTCTCCTTACACTCTTGAAATGGTTCACAGGAAAACTCTGGCAGGGAAAGTGAAGTCTAGGTGGCTGTCCATCAACAGGGGTTGAGAGCCTCAAGCCAAGGTCCGGCACCCTGACTCCTCCCCCCACATGAACCCCACCACCCGATAGCATTTCCTGAGCACCCATGAGGGGCACATTCTGCAAGCCCCTGGAGGAGACAGTGCTAATAGGCAGAAGATGGGGAACACTGGCAAGTCCCCAGACACAGCCCTGTGGCAAGGGCTGCCTCAGGCCCACCACCTTCAGCCTACAAGACCACCTGTAACTGTCACCGAGGCCCCCTGCCCTTCTGAAGAGGGGCCTTTCCAGGCTGCTCTGTTCCCTAGATGGGACAGGCTGCTCTCTAGGTGGCCCCTACCTGGGGCTGCCCCCGCAGTGCCTGTCACACAGCAGGTGCATAGGAGGGGAAATGAGGCCCAGTGCCCTGCCCTCATCCACTGGCTGGCACTTCTCTCTCAGCAGCTGCCCCCACGTGGGTCTGTGGCTGATCCGATGGGGACCCCCAGCCCCACCTCCAGTCTTAGGGAGCTGAGGCTGAGGCAGATGGGCCCGAACCTGCATGGGCAGGGCCAAGGAGCTGGAGCAGGAGGGCAGCAGATGGCATGCAACCACAGGAACCATCCCAGTCCTGCCGTCGCTGACTGGGGATGGACCAGCCTCTCTCCAGCACTTGGTCCTTGTACCAGACAACCTAACTCCTGCCCTAGGCTGCTGTCCTGGTGCCTCGAAGGCAGACACTGGTTGGGGCAGGTAGAAGCCCAGATAGGCACCTTCTGGAAAACCTCATGGGGCTGCAGCCTGATGTGACCACTAGGTGTCAGTGGTGATATCCCAGGACAGCTACAGCATCCCCCGCCAGCCCTGCTGGGCCCTCTGCGGGCCTTGAGGCCTATACACAAGACCCGCCTCCCACAGGCTACCAGTCATCCCTGCCCACCGTCATGGGTCATGCTCCGAGCAGACGTCAGTGCCCACCCTGAGCTGGGTCCTCTGCCAGGTGCTGAGGCAGGAAGAAAGGCTAGTAAGACAGGCCTGGGTGGGGTACACACACAGATACCCACCATTCTGGCACTATGCATGAACTTTCCCATGGAGGGGGAGGCACTCCTGACTCCAGTAGGAAGT